ATATTTGCAGATCAATTTGTTACTTAATTAACAAAATTAATTAACCGATTTTGCCAAAAAATAGTTTTTCGAACGTACCTCGGCCTTGTCAAAAAATCGATTTCTGACCGTATCACGACTTTGTCAAAAAATGGTTTTATGACTAAATTTTATTATACATACTTCTATCTACACAACTGTAGGTGTTTTCCTTTTTATTGCTGCTTATGACTAAAAAATTAATTCAGTTAGTGGTGTTTCGATGAAAACCAATACATTTTTCAAGCAACAAGCTAATATTGTTTTAATAAATTTTATTAAAATTTATTATGAATAGAATTGCAAATATTGAATATCGTTTAAAAATATTATTGGTATTTGGTACGGATTTTGAAAAATGTACATAAGTATATATTTATGTACATAAATATATACTTATATGCAAAGAAATAATTAACAATAACGTTCCATTCTGTTTGCTAGTAATTTAAATTTTTCTAAAATTAAAATTCAGAAGTGTTACAATCAAACAATTGAAAGAAAAAACTTAATTTATCATATATGTAAGTATGTTTGTATGTATGTTTTGTATATGTGTACCTGTGTTTATAACTCAATCATATATTGGTATACATAGATATCTTTGCATAGATAAGTACATTTTATTTTTATACCACATTATTATAAGAGTGTATGTGTAATTTATTTATTTTATGTTAGCGCCGCGCCGGTATGATTAAACAGGTTCAATAAACATTGTGAACTAATTTAAGAAGTGAAGAACATATCTTGCCAAAAAAAAAAACGAAATATCAAAATAAAATTAAAAAAAAAAGAACATTCTTAAATAAATGAAATTTTTAAATGAATAAAAGCAAATTAAAAAAAATTGAATTTAAAAAAAAAAAATTTGCATTTGACAAAAAGAATGAATGCATGTGCGGTAGACGCCTTCTTAATAAATCAATTCTTAAATTGAATTATAAAAATAATTTCTTTATTTTCTCAAAAATACTTGCATATACGCTGAATAGGTTCCAAGCTAATGCATTAATGAATAAAATTGTTTAAGTATTTTATGTACAATTATTATGTAAATTGAGAACTTCAATAGAATAACTTTGCACATGCAATTGAGTATATAATCGTGTACAATACAAAAAAAAAAAATTTGCATTTTTAATTATGTGGTAATTTTTAATGGTTTTCGTTTTTTCAAATGTGAAGTAATAATATTCTCAAGGTAAATAAATAATATTTTCAACACGTGTATGCATTAAAATTAATGCCAATTTGATTTAATTAACAAAAACTTGAAATTTAAGAAAAATTTAAAATGAAATCCCATAATTCACAATAGCTGTTAATAGAGTAAAAATATAAAGGACGCGAAAGCAAGAATCTTGCCATCATTAAAATTCGTCATAATTTCTTCATAATTAAATACTTATGCCTATGACTTGTAAGAAGAAGTCTTTTATCCAATGTAAGAAAAATTTGTAAAATATTGTAAATAAACACATGTCTGTTATTGTACTGTAAATCCATATTCCTGGTTATTGTACCGCAATATTTTACAAAATAAAGTGTAATCCTTTTAATTTGGAGTCTTCTTCCTTAACTATTATTTCTTAAATCACCTAATATTTTAAATATTTTTTTAGATGATCTGAAATTTTTTCAATTAAGTGATTTTCTCAATACGTCTTCGATATGTGGTTTCATTCCTAATAGATAATTTTCATATAAAAATCTACTCTGATTTCTTCTTTTCTTTCCAAATCGTTAGCTATAACAACACTCGGTTGAATTCTAATACCTCTGCATCTTTACTAATCGTCACGTTTGTATTTTGGCAGGTGTCAATAAACAGAAACTATTTTGATCTAAATTAAAAAAAAAAACAAATAAAATTAAAACATTCAATATTTAATATATTATTAATTACAATTCACAATAGACGCTTTAATAAAATCTACTTATTCAAAATAAAAGAAAAGTCAGACTTCGGATTTACGTAAATCGATTATTTGACGTCATAATTATTGTATTTTATTAAAGGCTTTAAATATATTAAATTATTTTTTAAGCAAATTTCATGTGTGGCATTTTTTAAGAATATAAAAAATAATTTTTTTTTTTTATGTTAACCTCTAACCATAATATAATGACGTATTTAAAATTAATGTAAAAGCAAACAAAAAATAAAAACACTATATAACTATATGTATTTAAGTATGTGAGTATATATATGTATATGTGTATATATTACAACAAATGATTCATTTCCTGAATTGCATAACTTTTTTATGATTCATACATATTTTTTTTCTTTGTATTATGTATTGAAATGTGCTGACGCAATTGAAATTCATCGGGAATATACAATAAATAAAAATCTTATCATTTTTAAGATTTTTATATGCAATTTATATATGTATACGAGTATATAATGTGAAATGTATGTATGTATTTATTTTAATTTTCTTAATAAAGTACAAAACGAATAATATAACAAGAAACTAACAACAACAATTAAATTTTAAACATCATTAAGTAACAATAAAGGCTTACAAGAATAAAAATGAAAGATCATTTTATGATAATTTCACTGTAAAGAGAAAAAATGTAAGTGAAAATGAGCTGGGATTACTGTAAAGGGAAAGAATTTAAGAGTGAATGAGCTGAGATTACTGTAAAGAGAAAGAATGTATGACAGAACCATGTTACTGTTGTTGTGACGTGATGATAGAATATATGAGAGAAATTTATTAACATTTTACAAAAAATGAGGACAATATGGTGGTTGAATGTTTTTTCCAAATAAATTTTTTGATATTGTGATTACAGATATGGAAACAATTCAGAATTTTAATTTTTATTAGCGAAACGATTATAAATATATTCCACAAAAACATGTATAAATGTGCAAAGACATTATTCTTCGAATCACAATTGCGTAAGAGACAATAATTGACAATCTCTACAAATTTATTTATATGTGCTTATACATAAATATTATGTATTTTGTTAGGAATAACTTATAGACTTGAAAATTATCCTGAAATTGTCCTATTTAAAAAACGAAAATTATCAATTCTCAATTGTGACTTATGATCAGTTAATGTTCATATAAGCACTTTCGTACGAAATAAAGCTTTGCGAAATACTTGTAATTAACAACTTAACTATAATAATAAAATATTATTTAATTTACTGAGATTCTATATTCTATCTATTCTCTCTTTATTTTATTTTCTAATTTAAAAGAATGATGTTTAAGTAAAGCTTATTTTTTTTCTACTGATTAGTTGTTTATTTCTACTTTGATTTTTTTTTTTTATTATTTTATTTACCATAGTGTAATTGAACTTATGGCCTTCAATATTTTTGTTTTTTTTTTATTCTTTCAAAAAAAAAAAAAAATGAAACAAATATATTATAAGACTTCAATTTTTAGAAAAAAAAAGAAAGATGTTTCACCTATCGATTCGCGAAAAAATAACAATAACAGCAGCAGAGTAATAAAAACACATGGAATAACAACAAAAAAAAAAATAGAAAATTTGTTTGTGTTTGTAATAATTTTAATAATGATTCAAGTTTATATTCATTATTAAAATCGCTATAATAATTATTTAATTTGTCGTCGAATTCGACTTAAAAGTCTCTTACTGCTCTTTCAAAAGTTCTAGTTTTCGAATTTATTTTGATCCTGATACTTGGCTATAAATGTTTCCGAGGGTTAAATTTACTTTATCGAACTTTAAATATAGACAAAATGGTCGTTAAAATTATCCCATAGCTGAGACAAGTCTTTTTTTAATTTATCCTTTATTCACTTAACTAGTTGTCGGATTCGGCCATTATGTTAACGTGTCTTTTAATTTTTTTCTTTTGCGCATCGTAAAAGTATGCAATAAGTCGATTTATTTTGTAGTATAAGTTTGAATAAATTTAAAGAAATTTGAATATTGTCGTACGGTGTGTTTAAAAGTAATGTTTTTAATTGTTCTAAGGAAAGGTGCTCCTTTACAATTTCATTGGTTTGATTCAATTTTATTAATTGAATTAGCCAGCAACACGGAATAATTTTTGAATAAATTTTTATAAAATTTACTTTCAATTTAAAATTATATAATGTTCCCTTAAATTGAAGCATAATAATTGTCAAAATATTGAAGTAAAGCTGATCACTATGGTCTAATTTCAAATACATATGTATAACATTAATTTTTACATAATTTATTGAAAATTCTATTGAATCAAACATTATATTAATTTTACTTACCATTTCCTTCTTTTCCTGAATGTCAACCATTTAACAGTTGTAACAACAGGTATATTAAGATTGTTGTAATATACCAGTATAAGAATTTTTTATTATATTTGTACTTATATAAAACATAAAATTTACTTTACATAATTAGCAAAATGAAGCGCCATACAATAATAAAAATATTTTAATTCTTTAATATTTAGAAGAAAGAAAAAATAATATTAATTTTTTCTACATTTTTTTTTTTGTTTCTTCAATCTTCGCCAATTTTTTAAAATTGTTCTAAAAATTATTTTTTTTATAAAGAACATAAAAAAAAACTGAAACAAAAAAAAAATCTACAATGTATGAAAATAATGGTAAAATTTATTGAATAATAAAAAAGAATATTTGTGGTGTTGTGTGCTTCCTTTACTTTAAAATTTTTTCTAAAATATGAAAAAGGTACCCAAGCCTACACACAATATGACATTTTTATTTTATTATTGCTTTATTTTTTCGTTTTCTTCATTATGTGTCTGTCTCTTTCTTTATGTTTTTTAATTTAATTTTATAAAATTTTGCTTCTGTAACAAAATTGTGTATTTATTAATGGGAATTTTAAAAAATAAATAAAACTTTTCTTTTTGTTTTTTAATAATAGAAAAAATGTGTTTTTAAATTTTTTTTTTAATTTACATTCATTCATACTTATATTTATCTAATTCTAAATTATTTTTCTTCTTTTCTTTAAATTTTTCAGGTTGACCTAGAACCAGAACTTAGCATAAACAAACACACAGAGTAAGTGATATTTTATATTTAAATATTTTTTATTGTATGTATGTGTGTTGTGTGTATATATAGTTCTAATATTATATTATATTAATATAAATTTATTAAACATTTGAAAATCTACATTTTGAGAACAAGAAATGAGAGTATGATTTTTATTCTCTGATTTTCTAAAAAGTATTTGTTATTATTATAAGTACAGTTTAGTTGTCATATTAAAATCTCTCACTATTTTTGTAGTAGATACACCATAAACGTATTGTCAATATTGTGATATTAACATTTTTAACTTCAAATTTGACATAATCGATTTTAGTTTTGCATTTGAAAATTATGTCAAATGCATTTTCGAAATAATAGTCTTTTCATATACTTATATATGAAATAATTAGGGAATTTTTTTAAAATTAATTACTCTTTTCTTTTGTTATAAGATATTAAAAGTAATTTTTTTATTAATTAAATAAAAATGATAATTATGTCTTCATTTAAGTCATATCAATAATAGATTCGATACGAAAAAATATTTCCACATCGAATACAAATAAATAAGTACCTATTTTATTCGAAAAATAAATAGTATTTTAGTCATATCATAAATTGTTTTTCCTAGTTTACACTAATACAGCGCGTTTAGTGTCATACTAATACACAGAGAAAAAATAAGTTAAAATAATTTAAAATTTAAATGGGATTCACTCAACAAATTTCAACACTCAACAAATATTTTTTACTATCAATAAAATATTTCAGGGTAATAATTTATATGTAACAAGTATTTAATGCAAAATCTGTTACGTCTTAGATTAAATTGAATTTTCAAGTCATAATCAGATTTGGTAGTATACTATTGCCCTCTTAAGATTTAAATAAATTTTAAAGAAAAAACCGCTTTAATTAAAATTTTTAGTGCAAAATTAACGTAACGAACGAATAACGAATTAATTAAACGTAAAATTTTCGAAATTCCACGATCATTCTATGAAATACCTATTAAATAATTAATTCTAAGAGTATTTTAAGAAGAAAGTAAATTGAATACAACATGACAAAAGCAAGGAGAGTAATCAAAATGTGGGCAAAATTCGAAAAATCTTAAAAATTAAAAAAAAGTGTCGAGTATAACACATTAAGCAATAAGTAACTCGAATTTTGTATTTTTATCTGAGAAAGCTTTTAAAGTTCAACAAAATAATGTTTCTGATGATATTAAAAATTATTTTGAAAATTTTATAGAACATATACTTATAGTACAAATAAAAAAGCTACATACTTAAATAATCTTTAAGATTTCTTTTTTTTTTATAATATTGAAAACACGAACACAAATAAGCTGAAAAATGAGACCGCAAAAATTATAATTTCCTGGCCTATATTATATTGTTGTATACCATAAGACATGTACATATACATACATAAATATGTATAAGAGAAAAATAGTGCCGTGTTAGTATAGTTTTATTATTATCATTTTTATTTATTTATTATTCTCATTATTATTATTGTTATTGTTATATTATTATTATATAATCATAATATTATTATAAACCTGTACTACTTGCATATTAATTTACAATATTCTTAAATGTTATTCTTTTTTTTTGTAATTTTATGCTTATTTTTTATATTAGTATGTGTTAGAAATATTTGTATAAATTTGCTTATATGTTTGATTTTATTTAGATAGGTGAAAATGAAACCATAATATTTAGCTTTTTTTTTTTATTTATATAAACTTATCATTATACTTAGTGTTTTTTTTTTTTTAATTTTGAAGGTAAAATGGCAAAATCTATTCAGTGAAAAATGTAGGAAGCATACTTTTGTTATTTAAATGTATATGAAAATGTATGCGTGTAGTTTTGTATACCTATAATTATAATCATTTGTATAATGAAACAATTATGCTTGTATATAATTAAAAAATGAAACAATTTTGTTTATTTAAACATTTAAACATTAGTGCAAAAATTTTGTGTTTGCGATTTTTATTTATGATTAAGAATGTAAGGTAGTTTATCAACTCTTTGCGAAAAAAAAAAAAAAATTTCAATTTACGTTAACAACCTTTAAAAGTATGTACATAGGAATATATTTTTTAATAGAAAAATTAAAATTTGAATGAAAACATCAGATTCTAATAATAGTTGTAATCGATAATGTCAAATGCCTGTCAACAAGACTTGCATCTGACTGTCACAAACCGACAATCAAAAATTTATGCTAATAAAACTTTGCCCATTAACTTTCGTTCACAATTTTTGCATGCAACTGTGCAATTTTTGTGACAACTTCTTTAATAGCAGGAAATTATTTGTGATTTGAATAGTTTTCTAAAAGTGTGTAAATTTCATTATCTTCTTTAAAATTTTTCATTGTACACAAAAAAGTTGAAATTTTTTGAATATGACCATGAAATTGATATTATCAATTATGTGAAGTTTGTGTTTTTTTTTATTATCACTTACACAACAAGTGTAGACATCTTTTGACAACATTAAAAGTTACAATGCTTTTTTTGTTAATTGCAATATCAATTATGATGCAAAATGATTTATCGCGCATTATCGATTACACTTAATTGAAAATTAAGCAATAAATATACTAAAGTTGAGTATTTTCTTTCGAAATATTTAATAATTTAATTTAAAAAAATAATTTGTGATTGCAATAATTTTTATTGCTCCTTAAAAAAGAGAAATTAGTGATGATTATTTTAGGTGAGACAATAAATCCATGGCCACGGAATCAGAAAAACAAAAATGAAATTTTTGCAATTCTTATTAAAAATATAAACACTTTAAGATGATATAATAAAATGCAGATGACTGGCATACTCGTATATTCAAGTGTAAAAATAAATCTTCTAGTAATATAAAATTCTCCCGATATTTTTTTAAACTTTTCTATTTCTTAATTTGCCCTTATCAATACTCGTAATTTTAATAACAGTTTATAAAAATTATCGATTAACTTTGTTACATAACTTTTAATATTTAAAATTAAATAAAAATTTTTTTAAATATCTTTAAGCATTTTATGTCTGATTTTCATTATCAAGATTACATGACATTTCGAAAAGTTTTTCGAAAATTAATAGATATTCAAGTACTTAGCTATTTCAAAAATCATTATCACTATATTGTTAATAATAATCACAATAAAGATTATTTAGATAAGTCTTGTTGTATAGAAATTATAATCTACTCTTTATTCTAATTAAGTAGGTGATTTAATTATAAAATTGTATTTTAGGTGAAAACTAAAAAAAAAAAAAGAAAAATCACCTTTTGTTTTTATAATTTCATTGATAAATTTTAGACAGCTCATTTATTCATACTATAAAGTGCTTTAACAAGTTGAAGTTGCTGTTTTGAATATAGGCATAACTAATTTTGTAGTCTTGTCTAGAATAACTCAATTTTATGAAAATTAGTGAGAATCGCAACCTCATGTTGGTTTAATGCTAGAAGAGGGCCTATTATGTTTTAACGTAACTTTAAGTTCTAGTTTTAGCAAATTTTTACAATATTTTTTTTTTGTTTCAACAATTTAATGCAATTATTCTCAGTTTTCGTAGTCAGTAACCGTATTAGATCGGCAGAAATAATTACAAAATTAACTTTTTAGCAGACAATCGAATGATTAGATAAGTATAACAGGGAACCATTCGTATGTAAATACATTAAAATTTTCAATTCCATTTACGCCTTTTCTGAGTCGTTTTAGACGTTTATAATTGATAAAACAAAACAAAAAAAGTAAAAAAATTAGAAGAGGAAATTTTTTTGCAAATCCTGTTGCGAATAATTTTATCGGTTTAAACATTAATTTAGAATGATTTTTTAAACAAAGTAATTTTGGAAAATTAATTATTTCCAGTAAATGTGTATTTAGGTATGAGAGGGAATGATTTTCTAAGAATTTCCAAACAATTTTTTTTTATTTTTTAAATAAACTTGCAAAAATAATTTTTAATTAGTCATAGTTTTTACTTCTTTCATAAAAACCCATTCTACTTATATTTGGATTTTGTTTTAATGTGTTTGCAATTTGTTAATGGAGAATATTTCCCAATTTTAGATAAATGAAAAACATTTTTAGACGATAGTTTCTGAGAAAAACTGACACTTTCCGAAATTTTAAATGGGTATAGAGGTTGAAGTATAGATAAATGAGTAGATAAATGAAAATTACGTCCACAAATCTAATTTACTGTCAAAGTCAAACTTTATTTAATTTTGTTAATGGGTTAAAACAAAATTTTCTTTAAATATGAGATTGTGCAGAAATTTTCTTAATCAATATCCTGCAATCAAATGTAACATTTATAACCATATTTGCTTCAGATTTTGTGAATTTGTGACACGTTGACTAGGAAATGGTTTATGTATTTTATCGAAAGTAATACCAGGTTCCCTATGAAAACAAGTAAAGTATAGAACTTGTGTGTGCATATAGGTTTAATTACAGTAGGCCGCACTAGAGGACTTTGATCCATAAAAAAAAAAACTAATCTACAATCTAACTCTAATTTTAGTTTGATGCACAGAGTGTTCTGACATTGCAATCAAAAACTTAAATTATTTTTTTAAAATTATCAAAATTCGATTTGCCAATAAAAGTTATGTTGTCAATAATTGTCATAACAGTGTAAGTAACTTAGTTATTATTTTTTTTTTATTTGTTGAAAACACAAAACTAATAATAATTCAATTATCATATTTTTAACACACAAATACAAATTTCTTAAATCTAATATGAATTTATGTATGTATGTATGTATAATTAAATTTTATACAAATTTAAAATGTGAATTTGTTCTAATATTTTCGTACACACATTCTTAAAATTTATTTGATTGTATTTCTTTTTTTGTTATGTACCTTCATATATATATGTATGAGGTTAGAAAAGCATATATACATGTATAAATATTATATTAATATATATACTTATTATAGTTATTATTATAGTGACATTTAAAGAAATCGACTAGCATTACAAAAATTTTTATAGTGATAACTTTGTCATAGAGGCGCTGACTTCTATTTAGTATTTTACATATCCCATAGATAACAAATATTAGAATACATTCTTACATACATACATACGCTTATCTTTGATAACAAAACAAAAAAAAAATATAAGCATATAGTACAGTAATCCTTCATTTAACGTAATTATTAAAATCTCTAATAATTTCTAATTAAAAAAATGATTACAATGGTTATAGAAATTGAAAAATAATTATGACTTAATGACTCATTATGACTTTAATGAGGCTTCAGTCTAAAAACAAAAATATCTGAGATATAGGATTATGGAAATATACACTTGATTATATAATTTCGACGTCGATATTATGCTTAAATATTTATAGTTTTTTTTATACGTACGAAATTTTGCACAACAAATCAATTTAAACAGAAGCTAAATAATAAAAAATTATTGATTCCAATAATTATAACAATTCGATTTACAGGTCTTCAAGTGCACACAAACCAAATTTCTTACAAGTTTCTGCTATATCTACAAATTTTCCATAGGCTTCAAAAATTAAAATTTAAAGTTGTGTAGAGAATAATTTACTAGAGAACATGCCTAAATAAGTACAAAAATGAATGAAAATCTGCACGTATAAGAATGGATTCCTGTATATTAACAATTCATATATGTATAAGTATTTGTTTAGCAATTTTATTTAAAAAATTATAGTTTGTAAGGAATGAGGAAAACGACAGTTAAAAAATTTTAGTAATTTTTTTTTATTGTGTGTATTAGAATTTTGGTATTGGCGAAAGAATTTTACCACATACCTACTTACATACATATAAAATAGAAGAGTGACGATAATTTTGAAGTTTTTATTTTTATTGTTAAATTTTTTTTCTTTTTTTATTATTTTTTTTTTTTTTGATAGTTATGTAGTTGTGTTTAGCTCAAGGTCAGGTCATTTAACTCATCGCGGAAAAAAAAACAAAATCATAAAAAAAAAAAAAATGAAACCGCTTATTTTATGATTTTTTTTTTGTTATACCATTATTTTTATTAATTTATTTAAAATTTCTTATTTATTTTTATTTTTTTTTGTTTTTATTTATTATAAATTTTGAAAATACATAAGCAAAGTAAATAAGGTATTGAAAAATATTAGTGCAAAATTTTGATGGAAAAAGATAGATTTTGAAAAATTTTTAAATTATTTTCTGTATACATTATGTATGTACATACACATGTATGCTCGGTTGTACCTATGTACATATATGCTTAAAATTAAAATTTCAACAAAATTTACTTCACTTACTCGACATGCACTCAGTGTTTTAAAATTACAAAATTTCGTGGAAAAACAATTATGTAAGTTAAATTAACAATATTGCATTGCCGTTTATAAATTTCGAAAAAAATAATAATACAGTGAAGTCTCTAAATAATAGATATTTTTTAAGTATACTGGCATTTCTAATCGAACAGTGCATTTGATATTAAACTATGTACTTCCAATATATTTTATTTTATTTGTAAGACCAACTTCGTTTAAAACGAAATTTCTGTGTTACGTTTAAAATATATTGAGAAAGCAAAATAATGTCAGAATATTTTTTTAATTAAACAAATTTTTTGCAATCAGCCCGTTTGCATAGTATTGCAATGAAGAAATTATAGAACCATATCATCAAACCATATTTCTTTTGATATTTACCAATTTGATACTAAAAATATTGATTGTTAATAACCTCAGTATCTCAACCTCAGGAAATAGTCGGATCACTTCTTATTTAAAATTATTTTGAAAATTTTTCATAGCCTTCGCCATATTCTCAAATTAATTTACTATTTAATATGAAATTTAACATATTGTTATGAGCCTTCACTGGTTGTTACAAATTGTCGTTTTGATGTATCAGAGTAAAACTTAGCTAAAATTTCTGAATACAATAAAATAAATTTTCGAACTACGACACAAAAAACATTATAATTGTCAATTTTTTATAATTCAACATCAAAAATTTCCTTCGTTGGAGACGTTGGTAGTCACAGCTAGTCGGAGAAATTTTTTTTTTGTACTAATACATCAATAAGTGAAAAACTGCTATATACTTATTCTCTTAGAGTAAAAATATGTGCATATGGTTACTTTAAAATACATTTACAATAAAAAAAGTACCTATTTTTATGTTAATTAATTAAAAATTCAAGAATGTTAACAAAAAATTAATATTAATAACGTTTATTTTTTTTAACATAATTAACTATAACCACATTTTATTTTCTAGGAAAACAAAAAGATGTTGTTTTCTTTAAATACTATTATAGAAAAAAAAAGGTTGCCAAACCTATACCATTATCAAATAATGAAATTTATTTTCTTAACTAAGTTAGCAAAGTTTTTGCAAAAAATATTTTCTAAAGTAAAAAAAAAGTAATAATAATGAGAATTAAAAAAGTCTAGACTCTTAAACTATTAGGAAATAATTACTTTTATTTGTTTTAGCTTTTAAGAAGAAGAAAGAAAAACAATATAAAAAAAGACATATTTTTGTTTTTATTTTTTTTTTTTTGCAAAATTTCATAAAAATTAATTAAATTAATTTAATATAAAAGAGATTTTAAGTATAAGAAAAAAAATTATTTTAATATTCTGGTATTTTAATATTGAATTTGTGGTATAATAAATATTTGTATATATTAAAAATTAAACAAATTAAAATAAAGAAGTTATGTGTATAACATACACACATACATAACAATATACAGTAATGCCTCGATATATGGTTTCTGTCAACCACGTCCTATGAATATAATCATCGTATAGAAATAGTTATACATATATTTGTGTATTTATTTAAAAATTCTAATGTATACCTTCAGAACTAAATATATTGTATATTGTTATATATTTAATAAGGCTTTAAGTTCACAAAGACCAAATATAAAATTAGATATATGCACACAAATACACAATCTAGCCCTTAATATAAAAAACCAATTATAGAAATTGAATCCGTATGAATATTGCGTTCAAAATGTCAATTTTTTGACGAGCAAAATTGTAATGTACTAAACTTATGGACTTGGATGCAAATGTACCATAAATTTTTTTAATTTTTAGGGAAATTGTACCAAAATTTTTTTTATTTTTAAGAGAAATAAGATTTACAAGTCTGAAACGATGTGCAATTAAGAATGAGGAACAAAAATCTCGCTGATGTATGGCAAAGCGAAGTACAAATATATAGGGCCGACATATACCGAGTAACAACTGTATATATGTATACCTATACATATTTTATGTGTGTATTCAATTGAAAACTAAGTTAAAATTATAAATTTCACATTGGGATTTTATCAAAATAAAAATATGATATCATTTCTTAAGAAATAAAATTTTAATATTTTAGAAATTTTTTTCTTCTTTGTCTCAATATTCTCAATGACCATTAAACTATAATTTATTTTTTTTTTTTAATTTAATGACTTTGTTTCTCATGAAATATTAAAATTTCTGTAAATTAATATTAATTTTAAATAATATAAGTATACATACATACATGCACATTTAATGGCATTAGAGGCACAAACACATGCATAAATGTACAAAATGAAGTACCACAAGTACATATGCTTACTATGGGTATTTTTACTATCTAAACCACAGGGAAAAATGATAATACTCGTAGATATGCACACAATTAATTATTTTTTATTAAATATCTAAAATTAAAATATAATTTTCTTTTTATTTTTTGTTAATTTGCAGACAAGATGGATCTGAAACAATACAACTTTCAGAAGAAAATGTTAATCCAGGAAAATTAAAATTAGGACCTCAAGATTTTGAATTAAAAAAAGTTTTAGGTCGTGGTGGATATGGAAAAGTATTTCAGGTAAGAATAATAATATTTTTTTTTTAATAAAATACTTGAAGTAAATTATTATTTTACTTGTTCATTATAAGGTTTTTAATGGTCTTCATAGCCCTTTTAGACGTTTAACAGGTCCTGATACATCCATCTGTAATTGTTATTTTAATTAAACATTTGAATTGATTCAATTCGGGTATATAATATTTTTTTTTTGATAAGCTCAATTTACCTTATTTATAATAGGAATAATTACTGCTTTAGGAATAATTGCCAAATTAAAAGTAAATATTAATAAAAGAAAATTAAAATATCAGAGAATAGAACCATGTCCATCTAGTGGTCTTGTTATAAATTTCTAAGAGTTATGAAATGACTCGTATTATGTAGGTACATATTTATCCGATTATGAATTAAATATGAATGATTTGCCAAAGGTAGAAAATTTTTTCTTAAAAATAGTGTTTCCAAATTACTTCTTTTACGGGATTCCAAATTACTCCTTTTACGGGATTTAATTTGGAAACACTATTTCATGCGTAAACGTATACAGTACTTTTATAGCACAAATTTTAAATTTCTATATGAAGTTTAGTAAACTATTTTTTAAAATGTATGTATGTACATGTATATATATGTATAATAATATTTTTAATTCAAAATAACTTGCATGAAACTAAAATCCCTTTTAAAATTCCACCTTCAAACTTTTGATAAATCATTCGGAATTCATTCACAATATCGTAAATAAATATATGTATGTATGTATGTGAATTAAATAGGTATCACGACATGTAGTTCAGAACTTGTTGAATAATTGTTCTTACTTTGCATTATTTTACAAAATTTGTTTCTGCATTATGCAATAATAATATGCGCATTCAAAAAAAAAGACAAAATTTCTAAATATTGTACTTTAAACTTAAAAGAATATATTTACATACACGCTTAAATATCTTTACTATTAAAACAAAAACAGAAACTAATCGACACTTCTCTGTTTTATTAATGTAAAAATAAAAATGATAAGTGACAAGTGATAACCAATCTATATGATAAGAACGTAAATAACGTATACAAAAAAAAAAACTCGAACACACTTTGATAATGACACAATTTGGTATTGTGTCATTATCACATATATATAAATATATACATACATACTTTTGATCTAAATTCTAACACAAAAAAAAAAAAAAAAAAAAAAAGAATTATTAAAAAAATATCTAGATATTTTTAAATATTTATACTAAATATGTAGATATGTATATACATACATATATGTATGTACATATTGCATTTCAAATGAACAAGCGCGTGTGTGTTTAAGTTGTTATATTAACATATGTACTTGCTTCTCATAGTTTTTTCATATACTACTTATATATATATAAATTTATATGTATGTACTACAAAAATATGTTCATGTATGTATATAAATATGTAGTTAATAATTGCGTTTTTAATAATGATAGTGGAATATTTTTGTTTCACAAAGTAGGTGAAACGCAACTTTAAAATAATCACACTTTATGTATTTGAAATTGTCACACTTTTGAAATTGAAATTGAAGTAGGAATTTAAAGAATCAACAATAGAATTTAAAATATTATCTAAGTATATATGTATGTATATATGTACATATTTAGATACCTACTTACAATAAAATCGTTTTGTTATCAATGAAATTTTTGAAATCAAAATTAATCTTGACTACAATTATATTGTTCATATTTTTGGAGTTTTTTCAATAAAATTTTTAATTTAATATGCTAATGTGCAAAAGGGAAAAATTTAATACTCATCAATTTATGTATGTACTTAAACCTATTTTAGGTATAAAATTCTTTATAATATAGGAAGAACCATATGGATGTTAATTAAGACATTCCCTTATATATTTTTATTCAATTTTGATAATTAATATAAAAATTTTTAAATTAGAATCTTAATTTAATACCTTATTTTATAAATAGAAAATTTAATTTGCTAGAAAAAGAAATTTAATAGTTTTTTAATACACTCTTTTAATAACAATTTGCTTTGCCGTGATATTGTGTGTACGCATATTTAAAATAATAATTATTTGTGGCAATGATTTTGAGATCGGTATTAAAATTTGTTCACATTCACTATTTCGAAAAATGAATGTGTCAAATCAAAATCCATCATTTAGAAATGACAAATTTATTTAAAATTTTATGATTTTGACACGTTGGGAATTGTATTTTGTTACAGGACTACGATATACTCCTAATGCAAATTGTAGTGTACATATACAATTACTGTGATTTAACTGGATTAAGGAAATAATCTAGGAAAGTATGATGATATTCTACTTTCATTTACAGATAAAATATGAATATTTTTTACATAAATTCTGAATAAATTAGAATTTAATTTAAATTATAATTAATATTCTCCATAAATTTATATTCAAATAAGGGTGTAACTGATAAAGTATGTTAAGTTATTGAATTTAATGGCTCTTACCAATAACTATTGAACAAAGGCAATTCAGACAAATATACACATACTATTTGCGTATATATATATATATGTATATGTATATATGTATGTCGTGTGTAAATGCAAATTTTTAGTCAATAATAAAAAAAAAAACAAAAGTATTTTAACTGCGTCAAACAAATGCTGTTCAATTTTTCTTAATCAAGAAAAACTTATTTTTTTTTCCAGTTCTTATGAAAAAAAAATTTCCACTTTCCATCCTTATTATTATGTATACATACTATGTATGTATACCTATAAGAAACATACGCATTTAAATAAATTTGTTATGTACATTAGTACATATTATATACATACATACTATGTACATATATGTATTTCTCTTTCTCTTATAAAACACATGAGTACTGCGACTTAAATTATTTTGTAGTCAGTCATATTTAAAAACGTAAATATCACCTTTGTCTTTTTTTTTTTTTTAGATTTTATAGTCACATGTACTTACATGGAACAATTGAACAAAATACACATAGCATTAAATATGGTACATACATACATACATAGGTATATGTATATGTTTATATCAATGAAATATCAACATTAGAGGAATTTTGTTCCAACAATAATTTGCAAAATAAGCTCACTATTTAGTTAAAGAATTTTTATACAATAATGTATAACAAGTGAGGTACAAATAAAAATATACATACATACTTTCGTTTTTGTACTCGTATATCGTATTTTATTACAGAGTGTGTACATGAACAGATATATAAACATATATATGCTCTGTATATAATAATGTAAAACTTTTACCAACAACGTCATTTTGGTAGACAAAGCAAATTTTTTTTTATTTTCTTCTTATTGTTTTCTGTTATACGTAGCGTTATTATGAAAAGACAAGCATTTATGTATTTCACAATAAATGCAATAATTATTTTATAATTAATATTATTTTGGTAAAAATTAAAATATTTTTATTATAAAATTGTTACATAAATTTTAACATTTACATATTCATACTTAATGTTCAATGTGCATAATTATGTTAGTATGTATGGTGTATACACATATTGTTATATGTATACAACTATCTTTTTGCATTCTATACATACATATGTATAATCTTGGCATAATATACATATGTATGTATGCATGTACTTGTTGAATTATTTTTAGTTCAAAAAATTTGATGTTTAAAATATAATACATATGTATGGATGTATGTAATTTCCAAAATCTATTTGTTCGCATTATTCAGCGCACTTTTACCGTCTAAAATAATTACTTTTCTATGTACATTCAAAATAAAAATTTTTATGTGTAAAAAAAAAATTATTTTGGCGATAGTATGTTAAAATCTCTAAATTTAAAATTGCAGTACTACTGCTCTAATGCAGAATTCAGCTTATAATTTGTAATTGCTGAATTATGTTCAAAATAGAATATTACCATTTGAATTTTGAAGTTATTCTATTTAATATTCACGCTCCTTAAACTATTTTAATAAAATGAAAGTTTTAAACACAGTGGAATGAATTAATTTAATCTATGATGCAGTAAATCTAATAGTTGTGTGGTTCGTACTCTATTTGAAAATTAATCAACTATGTACATACATATGTGTGTACTTTTAAATTTGTTCAAAAAGTATTCTACAGAGATTTTATAAGTACCATTCTGAAATTCAAGAAAAATGTATTATGTAAAATATTCCAATAATCTTTTCATTAAAAATATGTAGGTGTAATATAAACATCTTTTTATATTTTTTCCAATTCTATAACTACTCGTATTATTCCTAATATTATAATTTATTTCCAGTTCTATATAAAAATATTATGTAAGTTCATAATTTTTTTATTACAAAATTATTTTAATTTTAAAATTTTATCAAGATAATATTGAAAATTCTATAAATTTTCTCATCAAAATGTTTTCCATATAAGTACTCATTACAAATGCGTAAATAAAATGAATGCGGCATTTCAAGCACTCCTATGGTTGTAAATTTAATGTTGACTTTTTTCATTTTGCTATATTTGCTAATTTATGTATTTACATACATATATACATGTATATTTACTTGTTACATTACATAATAATACATATTTATGGTAATTTGTGATCATATGATTTCTACCTAGTATTAATTTGTTTTCATTTTGTATGAAGGGTAAATTATTTTAAACTTAATTTTATATATAATTAAATAAATTATAATTAACTATATAAGTGAAAAGGTTTCCTATATATATGTAGATTTAGGTAATAATTATTGTATTTTTGTGTTTTTCATGAATATATATCATACATATATATATATATATATATATGTGTATACATATATATATCTATTATAAACATATATGCATGATATATATATATGATCTATATATATATATGTATGATATATGTAAGATATATATGTATGAAATTTTTTTATTTACATAATATTATAAGTTTAAATTTCAAATGAATTGCCACAAAATTTTATATATTTTATTTTTAACCCTAATCTAGTGTTCATATACACATTTACGTTCACCCTTACTTATTGAACAGGCTCATACCATTCATAGTATAATGATCAATTGTTATCATATTTTTTTGTTTACATACAATTAGATCGACATAATATGTAAATCTACATAACATGTATTTTATTATTGTCACTAAGTTTGCAAAGTCACCTGCAAATTTTTCAAATTCATTTTCAAACGATAAGATTTATTTGTATGTTATTTTAAAAAAAAAAAATTTTTTTTGACTCCATTGTTAGTAAGAATACTGTAAAATGTTAGCAAAATCAAATTTTATATTATTTCATAATAAAAGTCGCAAAATTTATTTATGACTCCAACCTACACAGGTTTTTTGATTTTATTAGAAAAAATGTGCATATTTTCTAATACATTTTATATTGAATCAATGATAATGGCTATCTATAAATTCTGCAAATATTAAATTTTATTATCAATAATCCTAAACATGTGTTAATTTCAAAACTTGTTAAGAATAATTTTAGGATTAAGATTTTTTAATGTTTATATTAATAAAATTTATTTATTAGAATGATTTATAATTAATATGTACTCAGAATTTTATTTAATTTTCTATATGTATTACGTATAATGCTAACTAAATGTTAATAAAATTTATATATGAATTGAAATTAAACTATCTATATTTTAAATAGAATTTTATCTATGGAAGGGATAAGATAAAAGTAGTGTTTCATAATTTATGATAGCTCTAAGCAATTTAAAATTATTTAGAAATTTTCGATTTTACAACACTTGTAAATTGTTGTTAAAATCATCTTGTAAGTAATCCTATATATATATGTATATATATATTTAATAGTGATTTTACAATTTTGTAGTTAATTTACAATAATTTAATCGTTGATTTATTTAATCAGTTTAGACTATGTTAATATTTGACATAATTGTGTTGTAAAAGCAAATCAATAAAAGTATTAAGTATGTAATTAGTTTCAATCTAGAAAGTTGAAAATATTTTAAATTTCTAATGTTGATGGATTTATAATAAAATTTCAAAAATTTAAATTCTTATTCTTAAAAAAAATACATTTTATATGATAATTTCTTTCTTTTAATTAATTTTTAATCGTACGTAAGGAAATAGCAATTTTACGTTGTTTCACTGTCGGCTAATTTGCCAAGTCTTTGCATTTTAATATTGAAAAGTCTTTGTACAAGAGCTGCCCTCTATGAAAATCTTATAAATTTAAACCTGATATTTTTTATACTATTAAAATATTTTTATTTTTTTTATAAGATTTCCTTTATTCAGAAAGTTTTTTTAATTTAGCTTACAATAAATATTTCTTGTTAGAGTTCCGCTATGAACTCCGCTATGAAAAGAGCTGGCTCCGGTATGAGCCAATATACTTGTGACAACTTTTTGTTATTTAGAAAATTATGTACTTGACTCGAATACTAGAATTTTTTAAACTTTACTTTTAATTATTTATAAAGCATAATTTTAATATAAAACACAAATTCTTAAAACATTCTCTAATTCACAATTTATTTTTTAGGTTAGAAAAACAGCTGGAAGAGATGCAAATAAATATTTTGCAATGAAAGTTTTAAAAAAAGCCTCAATAGTCACAAATCAAAAAGATACAGCGCACACAAGAGCTGAAAGAAATATACTAGAAGCTGTCAAGGTATGCACCAAATAAAAATATCTTATTGTTTATATAATTAGCTATAACAAAAAAAAAATTTATATACATTTAGTTTATCAAGGACATATTCAATAATTTTTCAATATTTTATATTTTTTTTTTCTTTTTTAGCATCCATTTATTGTAGAATTAGTTTATGCCTTTCAAACTGGTGGAAAGCTGTATTTAATTTTAGAATATTTGAGTGGTGGTGAACTTTTTATGCATTTAGAACGTGAAGGAATATTTTTAGAGGATACAACATGGTATTAATTTTCTTATTTTTTTTTTTTTAATATTTTATATATTGATTTATTTTTTATATTTTTAGTTTTTATCTAAGTGAAATCATTCTAGCATTAGAGCATTTGCACTCTTTAGGAATTATTTATCGAGATTTAAAGCCTGAAAACATATTATTGGACGCACAAGGACACGTTAAATTGACAGATTTTGGTTTATGTAAAGAACATATTCAAGAGGGTATTGTAACACATACATTCTGTGGCACAATAGAATACATGTAAGCACAATAATATGATTGCGACAAAAAAAAAAGTTTTCATCAAATAAATATAATTATTAAAAAAAATAATATACGTTAAAATTTTTTAGGGCCCCAGAAATTTTAACAAGAAGTGGTCATGGTAAGGCTGTGGATTGGTGGTCATTAGGTGCATTAATGTTTGATATGTTAACTGGAGTGGTAATTTTATTCAAATTAAAATTTTAAAAACTATTTTTAAAAACATATTTTTGAATTTTTATAGCCACCATTTACAGCTGAAAACAGGAAGAAAACAATTGAGACTATATTAAAAGCAAAATTAAATTTACCTGCCTATTTAACACCAGATGCCAGAGACTTAGTACGTAGATTAATGAAACGTCAAGTTTCACAAAGATTAGGTAGCGGTCCAGAAGATGCTGGTGCTATAAGAGCCCATCCATTCTTTAAATTAGTCAACTGGGATGATGTTTTAGCACGCCGTATAGAACCTCCAATAAAACCAATATTGGTATGTTTTTTTTTTAAATTTTATTATTATTAATTGAAATGATATAACTTTTTTTTTTGATTAAAAAAATTTATAGAGAAGTGAAGATGATGTTTCACAATTTGATACAAAATTCACACGTCAAATACCAGTTGATTCCCCAGATGACACAACATTAAGTGAAAGTGCAAACTTGATTTTCCAAGTGAGTTTGATTTTAAGAAAAAAAAAAACAAATAAAATGTCAGTTGATTTTAATTTAATAAATGTTTTTTGCAATTTTTAAGTATTTTTTAAAAGCATGGAAATACTTTGAGAGAAATTCTTTCTTAATTATCTATACGTACATTTTATTTGTAGGGTTTTACATATGTTGCGCCATCTGTATTAGAAGATATGCAAAGAACAAATCGTATGCCAGCTAGATCACCACGTCGAACACCACGTCAACATGATGGTTCATATAGATTATCAGCTTTTCCAACAACAATATCAGCTGCACCAACTTCAAATCATCATCATTTGCAACGTGGTATGTGCGGTTCAAGAGCGACGCCACCGCATTTACAAGCATTTGCTCCACGTCCGTCTCCTCAAGATGAAATGATGGACGTTCAGGGTTTACCAATTGTGTAGTGTTATCATTTAAGAAAATATTAAAAAATTAAGGAAATTTATATAAAGAAAAAGTAAACAAAAAAAAAACAAAAAAAAAAACTAGATAAAAATTTAATAAAAATAAAAAAATAAAACTATATGAATATAATAAAAAAGAGAGAAGAAAAAAAATAAATTAATAATAAAGAAACTACTAAATAAAATTAAGAATAACGACTAAAATAATATTTTTTTTTTTTTTTTGACAAAACAGATATAAATAAATTTATAAACTTAAAACAAAAAAAAAAATACGAAAACGAAAAAAAAATTTATAAAAATTAAAAAGTCATGCATAAAATGTAAATTACCAACTACCACCCTAAATTATAAACTATACGTACATATGTATTTGTATATACATATTTATGTACGAAAATACATTATATATACATATATATATATAATATGTATTTAATAAATAATATAATATTATGTTATATTAATCATTTATGTTATTTTAAAATACTATATATATATACTATATAAATATACCTATATAATATTTGCATATATAAAATAATAAATAAATTATTTAATATAAAAGTATATAAGATGTATATGATACATAATAAAACTAAACTGCTTAATTATATAAAACAAAAAAAAAGCGAACCTACTATTTATAAATAATTAGAATTATGAATATTAAATTTAAATACATTATATGTATATATATATAAATAATATAATACAATGAAATATTAATAATTAATTGTTGTTACTTACTCCAAAAATTAAAAATAAGAAAAAAAAAAAATAAATAAAAAAATAAATTAATTTATGCCAATTTAAAACAAAAAATTTATTTTTTATGTTTATTAGAAATATTAATTAACATTGTAATATAAAATTTGTTTATTATATACATATATATTTTAGTTTTCATTTTTGAAATGAATTTTTTGAAAAATTTATAATTTAGTTTTTTCTTTTCTAAAATAAAAACTGTTTGCTGTATAATAGAAAATATGATATTTAATTTAAAAAAAACTTTTTGAAATTATTTTTGTAATACGTTCGAGATATGCATGCAGACGCATTCTAAACGCACCATTATAAATTTTGATTTTTCTTTAAAAATTTGCACATTTATTTTTCTTGTAATTTTTTTTTTAAATAAGAATTTGAAATATCAGTAAAAAATTTCAGTTTATTTTAAAAGTATGTAGCTATTTTGAATTTTTTTTTCTAAAATATATTTTCTTTTAATTTTTCTTATTCTTATATATACATATAGTTATGGAATTTATATGTTTTCAAAATGTGGTTTAGTATTCGAACAATCATTAGTGATAGTACAATTTTAAGAATAAAGATTCTTGGTATAATATAAAATATAACAATTTCAATTTATTATAATTACTTTTAGTTTTGAATTAATATAATTTTCATGTATGAGTACATTTTTGAAATTACAATTTTTTTTTTTTTTTTGGATATGAAGTGTATCTAAATCATAAAATAAATTTATTTTACAAAAAATCACAATAATATCCTTTTGAAAATAATTAATACAATATTTTTGTTCAGTGCATAGCTTAAATTGATATCAAAATATGATAAATTTACGTAAAGTTGCAATAAAAAAGAAATATTAATTTAATTTTTGTTTCAGTTTTTTATTCTGTAAGAGAGTGAAAAATGTTTAATAATTGGTTTAAAATCAAAATAAAAATAGTTCGTTAAAAAATTGTTTTTAATTCTTTAAATTTTTCTTAATGCTTTTTTTTTTATATAAAATTTAACGTTTGGATGATAAAAAACGTAATATATTAAAAAAAAAAACACAATTTTGATGTATCAATACCGATTTTTTTTTGAATCAAATTACTAATGGACATTTTCTATATATAAAATTTAATTATTAAAAAATGTATGTTCAAATATATAAAAATAAATTGATAATAAAATACATAAATCTAGCCTCTTAGTGTGGTTGATATTGAAATTTTGTTTAATAATAAAATAATTCCATATAAATTTAGTCTATATGTGTATATATACATAATTTTTTGCTTTATTATATTTCCAAAATTAATTTGAAATAATATTTTACATAATAAAGAAACTTAGTTTTGAATTTTTTTTAAATATTTTCACATAATACAATATTATAAAGACTACAAATTTATCAAAAAAAAATATATTTTTTGTGTCTGCATTTTATGTTTTTGATGAATAGATTTTTTTGCAGCATAATATTTGTAATCAGAAAAGAAATAAATTATTTATTGAATTAATGAAATAAAATCAAAGTTTATTTTTTAAAATTCAATTCTAATATATACATAAATATATTTTATTTCTGATCTGGTCTATTTAAATTTTAAGAGTCCATTGTGAGCATTTTGATAAATCTCTTAATAATTTTTAAAAATTTTGTAGCATAATTAAAGAAAAATATGGAGAATTAAGTTTGAAAATAATGTTGAAATAGTAATTAAAATTTAATTTATTTACGTCTAATTAAAAAATACACTAGTTTGCAGGCTACAATTTTCAATTCAAAATTTCAAATAAGCTAACAGAATCAATTAATCTTAAAGAAATATAGACAAGAAAGTATTATAAACTATGTAAAAGAACTTGTCAAAAATAATAATACTTTTCGAATACTTAATTGTTCTAAAGCCGTAAATATCTTTTCCAATTTAAAAATGATAAATTTGAATCACAATGGATATCTATTTTTTTAAAATGACTATTCAATAATAAATATATTGTTTCTATTTTTTTACATACATAAATGCGTATACATATAAAAATAAATAATATTATAATAAATTTTTTTTTGCTATCATTATTGTTTTGTTATCAAACTAAATATTAAGTACAATTATTATGTTTTATTTTAAAAATAATAAAAATGTTAAAAATTTTCATATTTCATTGAATTTGAAATAAAAAAAAAAAATAGAAAAAAGAGATATCTTACCTATGTATAAAAAAATTTGAACAAAAATTTTTTTGTCTTCGTTTTTATATACTTAAAAAATAAAAAAACAAAACAAAAGTTTATATTCAAATATCATAAGAATTATAATACCTCGTTTTTATAAATAAACTAAAAAGTTTTTCTTTCTTATATTACAGTTTTTTTTTTTAATTTTACATTTTTAGAAACAGGTTACCATACATGTATAAATATAATATTATATAAGTAATTGAAAACAAAATGAGGCACTTCAATTAATGTTTCATGGAAGAACAAGAGAACCTTGTTTGTTAAAACATTTTTTTTTTCAGTGTTAAGACATTTAAAATTCTTTCAAATTTCTTATTATTTTATAGACGCTAATATAACAAAAATTTAATTTGCTTTGTATATAAAAATTTTCGAAAATTTTTTTTTGTATTCATACAATGCCCGATATACTATTATTTTGGTCCTTGAATAAATGAAGCAAATTCATTTAAATCAGTTAGTTAGGATCGAAGTTGTTTCGTTGAAATTGAAGATAAAGAATTATGTAATTTATAATTCTTATTTAAAAAAATTTTTGCTAATATCAATTTACATATATAATCATCTGAATTTACAATTTAAGTAAATTTAAAAAAGTATGTATTGTGATTTTTAGTTAAAATAAGGGGGCGAGTATACGAATTTACCTTAATTTACAATAATTAAAAAAATAATTAATATTAAATATATTAATTGTTTTATTGACACCATTTTAGTACTCCAAAGTAACGAATGGTTATGATCCAATTAACTTGATATATTTAAAGTTTAATAGGGCTAAACGACTAAATTTCTCTTTATATCACACATGATAATTGTGATATGTGTAAAACCAGATATTTTATAATCGAGATTATTTTCAAAATTAAATTTGTCAAATGAATTTAGAATAAATGTTATAATTTTAAGAAATAGGATTCATTTTTTTTAAACTCCCTTTATAAAAAAAAAAAACAGTAAAAAACTATTAATTTCGCAGCAGACTTGAAAAAACAAATTTGATTTAAGCTATGTAGGTACATGATATATATTTTTAAAAATTATAATATTTTTAAACAAAATGCTAGTTAAAGCTAGTCTTAAGCTACAAATTTAGTTGCAAAAATAATTCATAATTAATTATTAAATATTATTTCATATATACAGAAAAAAAAATGAAAACTTTATAAAAATCTATATTTTATAGTTCACATTTTAAATTTTTGAAATTAGTAATATAAAAGAATATAATATAATATAAATACGTATTTTTTTATGTTAATATAATATTTTAAATTAAAAAAATTAAAAAAAATTAATAATTATTCACTTGGTGCTAAAAATTAGAAAAGGAAACAAATGAACAAAATAAAAAAAAAATAAATAAATTAAAAATACAAAATGTAAGTTTAAAATACCTCAATTATTTTTCAAAGTAAAAAAAATATATATAAATAATTATAATAAATACAAACTGATTTAGTTCAATATAAAATAAAAATAATAAATTATCTATTTTTGTAAATAACAAATTATAATTTTGTTTACTTAAAATATATACTTGCAATAAAATTTTATAGAAAAATGAAAATCACATTTATTCGAAATCTGAAAATTATAGTTTACTGATCTAATCGGTTTCCAATAGTTTCTTCTTTTGTTTTTTAATTTTATGCGTGAAAATTTAGTTTATTAGCTTTTTAACTGCATACTAAAATTTATTTTTTTTTTTTTCAAATTTGTTTTATATATGTGCGGTTAAAACATAACTAGTGATGATTTCAAAAAAGGGTTTTTTCCTTATAGAAAATTTTAAATGTAATTTAAACAGAAATTTTAATAAATCTTAAAATCTTAAGTATTTTATTATAGACCAAGAACGTTCTTTTTTTTTATAATACAATAATTAAATCACAGAATGATACTTTTATACATACATATTTTATACAATAACATATTAATTAAATTTGAAAATAGCCTAATAAATAGTGTAAAATAATAATTTTTGAAACTTTAATGAATTGCCTTGTTTTACTTAAAAAAAAAAAAGAAAAAAAAATAATCATGCTTATTATAAGAGACACTTGTTTTTTTTTATCACATCCATTCGGTGACATTTAAGTGGTGTTATGATATTTGAAGTGCGTTTTGTTAATTGATTAACAATATTTTATAACACTTATATACATTTATAATTTTTTTATATCTCAAAATGGATTAAGATCTTTAAATATGATTTCAGGTTTACTGTTAAAATAATATTCAGAAATGTTAATGATTAAAAAAGGGTTGCTCTCATAATAAGCATGTATCTACAATAATTAGTTATCAAGTACATATAAAATGAAAAATTATTAAAGTGAATCAACTTTATTATAAATAGTAATTAAAATACAATTTTAATTTAATCTATGTAATAAAAGTGGATTAATCGCATACATAAAAGTCAACAAAGTATTATATAAAGATAAAATATAAAGAGTAAT